GGGGAAAAAAATTTTTGCCCCCCCAAAAAAAAAAAAAAAAAAAAAAAAAAAAAATCAAAAAAAAAAAAAAGAGAGAAAGAAACAAAATATATTCCTTGGGTTATAGTTTACGTGTGGCTGTCTTATATAAATTGTAGTGGTAGCAGGCGCAGGAGATCTCCTAATGGAGGTTTATTGTAATACCTTTTATTGGGTTGCATATTTTTTTTTTATTCAGATAATTTCAATATTTACGGGTAAGAAATGGAGAATAAAGCATGTTGTGTGTCACCGTTCTTCCCCTGTGCTCCAAAACGTGGAATGAATGGACAGTGTCAACTACTGTATGAAGAATGCTTCGGAAGTGGGTCAAGCCACACCCAACACGAACATCCAAGTAAGTAAATTCGAATATTTAAATAAAGAAAATTCGTCGGTTTGAAGTGTAATATGTACAGTACATGGGGACAGGTCCTTCGGGAGAATCTCGTCTCATTACAATATACAGTATGTGTGTGTGGTATAGTTAAGTAGAACGGAAAAGAAAGTGCGAGGCTTTCAGTGAGTATAATAAGGATGAGAAAATCTTTTGGAATGTTGTATGTATGCACCGTACATACTGTATACAGGATATCCAAAATCTCTTCCGGTGGCGATGGTGTAACCAACTCTAATGAATGAGCAATTGTTAATTCTATCTCGGCGTGTGACAACAATACCTTTCGGTGCCTCAAAAATTGCTTCTTCCCTCCTTTGAGAACTTTTGTTGGTTGGTCACAGGGATTTAGGGAATCGATTCTGAGGCAGTAAAGGTTTGGTAAGTCTTACATCGTGCAGTCATTTGTTAACAACGCCACCGATGAAGTACCTTTCCCTTACAAAATTCCAATTCTCATGGCTCACAGTTTACTAACGCACACGCAAACACCAACAAACATACGACACTTTCACACTCATCTATATAACCATGACTGCAGAGAATGCTATCTTAACAAAAATATTCCGGGAAATTTATGGTCATCGAGGTTGTTATCGTCGTCAAGAAAATTTCAGCAACCTCTATTCATGCCTGTTGGTGAACAAATCTTGGTGTAGAGCTGCCGTGCCCGTACTATGGTCATCCGTATTCTATCCCATCCAGACCTCCCGTCTGGGTGTCATCACCACTTACCTCTCTTGCCTGAGCTCAGAAAAACTTAGAGAGATTGCGGATTCGGGTATAAAACTACCGCCACCACTTTCAAAGCGTCTCCTCACCCCCATCTCTATACCCTCGGATGACGACCTGGATGGAGGTGCGCGAGTGAAGGCACCGATGTATGACTACCCTTCATACCTGGTGGAAATGGATTTCGACAAATTCCTGAAAACCATATTCGCCTGGTGTCAAAAGTATCGCAATACGACGCATTGCAAACCATCTTTCTCCATATCTTCCTCAATGTCATCCTCGATGTTTTCTTCGATCTCTTCGTCACGTTCCGTGTCCACACTCGCCTCTTCGGTTTCCTCGGTCTCGTCCGTCAACTCGTCAACGCCATATCCCTCCCAAAAGTCGGAACACATCATGCGAATCGAATGCGTCCTACGCGCTCTGTTGCAAT